ATCTTTAATACTTCTTGAGTTACAGGCATGCAAACTTTGGGGGAAAAAAACAAAAAAACAACAACAACATGAAAAGCACTTTTTCCCATTTTTGAACTGTCACCATTGGCGTATAATGCAACAATGATTGCTAAAGTCAACAGATGTTACTAATAGACCTATCAATCTCTGTGTAAAAATAACAATGACACTGCCTTCTTTTTTTATAAATTTTTACTTCCTTGTAATTTGGCTCCAGATCTCAGGTTATTTCGACCCCACCCCCCACCCTCCACAAATGAGTGGATTTCTGAGTATACATCTATGCCATTTAATATTTTGGCTTTCATCACTAATTGTTTGTCTTTTTTCAGAATTATTTTTTTTTTTTGACAATATTCAAAATTTGAGCAGGGGAAGTTTCTGAAATTTGGTTGACTCGACACAGAATGACCCTAATGACCACATCTTTAGGCAACCATCATAAACACCCTATTGTGTTATTGTGAGGGCAGGTTTTGAAAGAACCACTCACATTTTTCATCTACTGTAGTTTGATCTACTTTTAAAACCACTTCTTCCTGCCTCTTTGAAACCCGAGAATTTCTTCCCACATATAAAATTAGCAAATTCAATCTGTGCTTCTACTTTTAGAGCAGAATTTCATAAGGAAGCATAGTTTCCTCATAAGCACCCATACCATGAGGTAAGTAAAGAATGTCAGGCCTGCAGAGACACAAGGTTATAAACGATGGCTCTCTTTAATGGCACTTCCTCTGAACCTCTTTCTGCCTCGTTTCCTCATTAGTACCGCAGCCTATCAAAACCATACATCCCTGTCATAAAGCGAGTGCAAAAAAAGGGTTCAACGGATATTTCATCTCTATTTCATTTCTTTTACACAACCTACAGAGAGACATAAATGGAAGGAAAAGTAATTACTCCACCGGTGGATGTATTTCTAAATATCAAACTTCAGAGAGGGTTCAAACACGCAGGCTCATCTGTTAAGTTCAGTGGCTTAAAGTAGCAATAACAGCAGCGTATGATCAATGCAAAACCAGCAGGTGTGTGACTCACCAAGAAAAGATCAATTCAAAGTGCCGCTGAAAATAGCACAGCTATTTCACCCAAACAGTCCAAACAGAAAATGTGTGCGTGTCTTTGAATCATCCATGTTTGTCTGCTTTTCCACAGACTATTTATACCCTGGCAAATCTTTGTCTGTCTTGTCTAATTTTGACCTGATTGTGTGACTAACTCTACAAACACTAGAGGATATGCTCTTTACTCTTGTCTGGTTGGGTGTACAGTACTGAAAAACCACAAATGCCACAATTTTTTTTACATTTTCAGATGTGTGTTTGAAAGGGTCTGAAGGGTCGCTTCTTATTTTTTAAATTATTTTTACTATCACTTATTAAAGATAAATGATGCTTGCAATTATAAAGGTCAATAATGTACATTTCCATTAACACATTCTTAGCATTTATAACTCTTTTTAGGGTTAAAGGGATAGTTCATCCAAAAATGAAAATTCTGTCATCATTTACTCACCCTTGAGTCGATCCAAATCTTTCATTGATCTTTGAAACACAAATGAAGATATTTTGTTCACACTTTACTTTAAGGTCCAATTCTCGCTATTAACAAAACATTAATTATGACTTTTGGCTCAATAAACTCCTAATTTGCTGCTTATTATAAGGTAGTTGTTAAATTTAGGTATTGGGTAGGATTAGGAATGTAGAATATGGTCGTGCAGAATATGTGCTTTATAAGCGCTAATAAACAGCCAACATGTTAATAATATGCATGCTAATATGCAACTAGTTAAAAGTGAGAATTGGTCCCTATGCTAAAGTGTTACCAATATTTTTTATGAAACTTGAGAGATGTCTGTCCCTCCATGAAATGACCATTCCACCAAAACGTTGACTTTCAAAGTGAATTAGGACATCATAATAGTAATCTATATGAATGGATCAGCACTTATATCGGCATCTACATGAATATAAATGCATGCTTAACTTTTGCACACATATAAACGTACAGTCAACAGCAGCTCAAATATAGGTTACTTTTACGTCTTTATGAACTTTTTGAAGTTCAAAGTTGAGTGGAATGGACTTTCAATGGAGGAACAGAAATCTCAGGTCTTATAAATAGCATAATTTGTGCTTTGAAGATGAACGAAAGTCTTATGGGTTTGGAACTACATCAGGGTGAATAAATGTTAATATTTTCAATAGCTCCATTGATTGCTATATTTTAAATCATAAGTAAAGGTTTTGTGGACGTACTGCTTCATCCCCATGTTTTATTCTAGAAAGCTGATGCCTGCGTTTCAGTGACATCCTGACAAAACTTTGAATTGGATCAATTACAGAGATCATTTGCCGTTATGAGAGACCAGATGACAGAGATGTCAGGAAGAAAGAAAAATCCTCATTTAAGACTAACCTTTGACCAACCTAAGAGACATGCATATGAATGAGGAACATAGTGTGTCAACGATGATCAAGATTTCTTTCATTTGAAGTATTCTTTGATCATTGCTGCATTTCTGATTTTGACTTCTTCTATTGGAAGTGCTGAGACCACCGTCTTCAGTAAACTCTCTCTCAACTGATTGAAACTCCTGATCATCATTGTCCATACTGGTCTCTCCAATAGCTCAAGTTGTGTTTTGCATAATGCAACCGCAGTTTTGCATTTAAAATGCACTACTAGGGTGTTCTTGAAGATTCTAGGCTTCTGGAAGGTTACCAATGTGCTGCATTCCCGTAGCCCATATTTTAAATATGATGCTAGCAAGGTCATATGTTCAGTTCCCAGTGTGGTATGAACGTTACACATTGAAGCTTAGTACTGAGGGTTAGAGTTTGTTCAAATCACTAACCCCAAGTATGAGCAATAATAATAGTGATGCTTGTCTATCATAGTAGGATTTTTTAGCATCCAAAACCAAACCTTCAACCACAATGGCTAAATGTATATGCAGTCCCAGATTACTCATTCCAGAAGTCTTCGCTAATGATATTCTTGGTCTGATGAAGTAGGAAATTTCTGGTTTGGCTTAAAAAGGATCAGTGACATGTAGGCTGCAGCTTCAGCATCAGACATCCGAGATAATGAGAGTGAATTACAGCTTTTTTGCATACGAGGGGCGCTCTGGTACAAAGCTGCTATATCACGTTACAATAAAACTCCTGATTGCAATGCAGTTTTGAGCTCTATTTATAGTCAGTGACACCGTCACCAGACCTGTGTTACGAGGGGTGGATGGAAGCTATTATGACAGAGGTCACAATTCAATTGCATAATGAAGGGAAGATGCTGTGTCGCTATGTGCGGTATACTCGACTGTGTCTCGCGCACACGCATGCTGTGCAGTGTCCATCAGGAGGCCGAGCACACTAAGAGCTTTCTCAATTATTCAGTGCACCCTGTGCAATCTATTACATCACATCCATTATGAAGGAGCCAGGCCTTAAAATTCTATTCTCTTTAAAACTGCAATCCTCCAAGCATCAGGTTAACAGCATTAAGACACAACAAAATCATTCACTGTTGAGCCAGAAGGTCAAATATATATATATATATATATATCAAATTTTGTTATTCAAAATAACAGCAGGATGAACGCCATGAATCAAGAGCGGAAATCACAATGTGAGCTGGCATGCTGTTCGGCAATGATGTGATTTTTTGACTGCTGTAAGAGGTCCTGAAAAGTTCAAATTATTTATGTTCTGCAGCAAAATGGGGATATTAAAGGAATAGTTCTTCCAAAAATAAACATTCTGACATCATTTATTTGGTGTCAATGATGTCAAACAACATTGGTTTCTGTGTGACTCATGATGCAACTGACATAAAAATGTATATATATCCAATGCCTTTTAGCGTTAATGACATTGACACACCATTTTTTTACTCACTATAACTCCATTTTAAGGCTTAAATTTTGAGCTGTTTAGAAGCTATTGTATGACTTCTGAAATTGTGTGGACTACTTTTACTTAAGCGCCTTTTTTGACAATTTGACATTGACATTTTTTATAATATAATATAACATAATATACTAGTTTTATGGCGCCATTTTCAAATGGAACAAAGAACCACGGACATTCTGCTAAACATCTCATTTTATGTTTCATTAAAGAAAGACATGTTGGATACTTCCATGTAAAAAAAAAAGTGCACTTAGCAATTTAAAAAATGTTACGTTTTCAAAAGAGTAATTATATACTTTATAAGAATATATGTAAGTGCGAGCTGAATGTAATTTTTTCAGACACTTAACTGCATTACATGAAAATTCAATTATAGTTTAAATTTATATAAATGCAATTAGCTGAGCTTTAGAGTGCTTTTTTGACCCACAAGTACATCTTTATATGTAATTTTATTATTACTTCTATTATCTTTGAAATACTGGCAAATGTACTGACCAGTATTTATGGTAAATTAAATATAATTTTATGTCATTTCTATTGAAACATGTATATTTGTAATTGTATGCTTGGGGTGATTAAATATTTTAAGTGTAGTACATTTAAAATACTGAGCATCAAATAGCACACTACAGTTAACATGCTTTAGTATGTTATTCAACACATTAAAATAAGTGTACTTCTAAAGCAAAACGAAATATTATCAAAACATAAACATGATTTAAAATGCAATTTGTTTTTAATTTGACACTATTACTAAGTGCACGTTTTAAAATTGTACTTACATGTGTTAAAAAACACTGTCATGAAAGTGCACTCTTTAAATTTAACTGGCCTTTTATTTCATTAATAATATCTATATTATACTTGTAGGTTTGAAGCGCACTACAAATGCCCATTCAATAGAATCAAGTGCAGGCTGCCACTTTTCCTTTAATGTTAAATTCTAGTTAGATTTTTAGTCCACTGAAGTGTGACTGGTCTTCTGGCATGTATTATATAAGCAAAAACTTTGGTGTTTGCAATCATGACACTGAAGCAAGAGCTTGAAGTTGGACTCACATCCATAGTGGTGATGTTGCACCTGTGTGGCCAGGCATCTGCAAACCAGCCATCTGCAGAGCACTGATCAATATCCACATCCTGCAGGCTGACGTCCACACGAACAACACCCCTATATGATATTATAGAGCACAAGAAAAAAAGAGAAATTAGTCTATTGTTAACTGTAAAGAAGCTGAAAGTTCACACTGAAAATTAAAAAAAAGAAAAAGTGCACTTCAAATACCAGATGATGTACTTATTTAAATGAGAAAATTAAGTGTGGAACTTTGGACACTTCGTGCACTCAATGGTTGCAGATTTAATTATGTACCGGATTGGGACTGACTATTATTGTGACGAGTGGGGGCGGGGCCGAGAGCCTCCTTCTTCCCGTGACTCCGAACTTTGTTACATTGGTGCCGAAACCCGGGAGGAAGGAGGGACATGCTGTCAGAGAGCCCTCGCTGCTGAGGGTTTTTGTGGTGCTGAGGAGGTCTATGGAAGACGAAGTGGGACGGAGAGCTCACTGCCACGCTTCTGGGTCGAGGAGGGGTGGCTGCCGTTCGAGAGGGAGCGGAGGAGTCGGCCCCCGGTCGCCAGGAAGCCAGAGCCTGCTGCCATCCGCCATGATTGGGGACTCGGGGGGAACGGGGGGTACGGGGGACTCGCTGCCGGTT